AGTGAGTAAAACATAAACTTAATAGTACATAGAATTGCGTATCAACATTCACAAAGTTTAACTTACATAGAAATGATCTTGACAGCAAAACAAGCTGGTGCTAAGCGATATCGATGAAGTATCATTCCGTCTTGCGATTTCGAACCATTTCTTCCTAATATCTCCTTTTAGCACCGATACAAAATTTTTTAAAGGTGTAGAAATAGTTGTACTCTTACACAAGGGAACAAAGCACCACTTGTAATTGCGTTTCTTTACTGTAATTCGTTTCTTTTCGGTAATTTTTGATGCTTTCAAAACAAACTGTCTACTCGATCTAACCTGTTTACTGAATAATGACGTCACATCGACGACGCCATCAAGGCGCGCGAAAAACTGGGCGTTTAAATCAATCGCAATTTTCAAACTCATTAAAAAAATTATTTAACGATTTTTAATTACTTTTGTTATTGTAATAGTTGTTTTTAGTATCAGAACTAATTTTAAATGAAAAACGAAAAATCGTGGAGGACCCTTTTGATATTTTTTTACGGCTCTCTTGATAAAAATCTATGTTGTGACTGCGACAGTGATAATCAATCGGCGGAATCCGAAGAATATGTAATCTTCAATTTTCTTTTATTTAAAAGTATGTACATATGTAGACAGGAGAGAGGATCCGTCACAGGCGAAGCTCCTCCCCCGCATAAAAAAGCTAATCTAACTCCAAAGTTATTTCTAAAAATTGAAATTAAAATTTAATAGAAAAAACTAATCTAACTCCAAGCCTATAATTCTGACCAAATTTTAATTTCTGGTTTTTCGAAGTAGGCTTGGAGTTAGATTAGTTTTTTTATGCGGGGGAGGAACTTCGCCACTTACATGTGTACTTTTAAATAAAAGAAAATAAGTAGGTTTTTTCATCCCACCTGTCAATTTTGACAATTGATAACACTTGATAACTTTTGTTCCATTTGAGAGCGACGATTTTAACTTTTATATTCGGATTTAACACGCCAAAATACACAATATTTGTTAAGTTTTAGCCAAATCGGTGAGAGGAAGCCACTTTCCTTAATTCATAATTACCCGAAGATTTATTTAAATTATAAAAAAGCGACTTTTTCCAAATAAAGATTACAACAAAGATGTCATCCCCAAATGATTTCCAATCGATTCTATAATATTCATTGTACACATTAAACATAGTTGCTATCTGCTAACTTGACGCTCGATAAAATTTTGTTAATAATTAACAAATTAAACTTTCCTAAAAGATTCCCAAATTATATAAAAAAGAATAATTTAAAAATATTTAATTTGTCTGCTAACTCTATGGCGGTGGGATATCTGGGGGATGACGGGTGGTTCCGTGGCTGCGCGAGTAATTATAGTAACTCAAAAGTCCGTAATTTGATTCCGGCCCGGCCTTCATTCCGCGTATATCTTGTTTAAGAGGTGGATTCCCTGTTTAATGGGAAGTTAAGGATTAAATATCCATATGGATTGATAATTGTTTTATAGCCGGTAAGAGCTTAGTATTCAGCGCCATCACTTCTTATACTTTGCATTACCTCCTCCTTCCTCCCCGAAGAGATAAGCATGAGATATCTTAGGGTGCGGTTACATGGACTGATATTTTCCGCGTAACGCGTAACCGCGTAACCAATTAAGCCTTGTGTCCACGATGCTAGAAATCGGTCCGAGTCCTCGGTCTGAGAAAAAGTTACTAGAAACAGACGAAGAGTAAAGTGAATTAAGCTAAGGTTAAAGTTATGCGACGTTGATGCAACCATGCCTTAGTATTTAATTTTTCTTAAGGTGATCCTAAAGCCGTGATTCTAGCCGGTTTTTTTCTTAGCACTAATCTTTTAATTGGTTTTATAGAAATGCAAAATTCTTGTCTAGAATTAAAGTACGCATCAAAATCTAGGTCATGGTGGTCGAATTTATATCGAAAACGAAAAAAAATTAATATTTTTGGTTATACGTGACGACCACCACATATAAATTCGACCACCATGACCTAGATTTTGATGCGTACTTTAATTCTAGACAAGAATTTTGCATTTCTATAAAGCCAATTAAAAGATTAGTGCTAAGAAAAAAACCGAAAAAAACCGGCTAGGATCACGGCTTTAGGATCACCTTAAGATTTAGAATAGCTTCGTCTCTGTAAGACATATTTTTATATAATAAAGATGTCTCACATGTAATTATATATTCCTTACATGTTGTTCTCTATTATGCTTATTTAATATTACTCCAATCCACACTTCTAATGTATAACATCAATTATACCTGCTTTGTAAAAAAAGGTCATTTTTACGTCACCTTGATGTCAAGATGATGTCAAGATTATATGCTCCTAACGGGCCATTTTGACGTCACGATGACGCGTAAAAAATGATTACAAAATGATGTCATTTTGACATTTTCGTGACTGATTTGTTCTATAGCGCCTTCTTCTTTTAACATGAACTAAAAATCTATATTTCGGCTAATTACCGAGTTTATAAATATTTAATTAAAATTATCTGGGTGACTCACAAACCTTTTTAATCACACTTCATAACTCTTCATACAAAATACAAACGATTCCGTATAAAAACTTTTATTAATTTATCTATTTCGGCTAAATGCATAGTGTAAAAATAATTAATTAATTACAATTAAACGAATGACTTACAAACCTTTTGAATTGCACTTCAAAAGTCTTCATACGAAATACAAATGATTTCATATGGTAGATTCTTTCCCGGACATTCATTTCCGGTCAAATACATACGAATAAAAAAACCGGCTAGAATCACGGCTTTAGGATCACAAACAGAATGCAGAACTCATATGCGCATGCGCTATGGTATCTGCATTCTGCCCATGGCTTCTGAATTTTCAATCTACATAAAAATATATAAGCATAGTTTATGTAGATTGAAAATTCAGAAGCCACAGCCATGGGCAGAATACAGGCAGATACTATAGCGCATGCGCATATGGCTTCTGCAAGGTCAATCCAGACAAACTTGCATAGCGCATAAACATAAGCATAAGAGAATTGATTGGTCCATATGCATGTGCATAAGGAAATAGACCAATCCGTTTCTTTATGCATATGGTTATGCACCTATGTAAGTTTGTCTGGATAGACCTTTAAAGCGGGGAGCACACACTTTTGAACAACGCATAATGCGCAAACATAAGAAAGTTGATTGGTCCATACACATGTGCATAGGAAATAGACCAATCAATTTTCTTATGCTTACGCATTATGCGTTGTGCAGAAGTGTGTGCTTTCAGCTTTAAGGCTATCGCACACAAAATGCATAGCTTAGCATAAGTGTAGCATAAAGTCCCTTGCACAATGCCAGGCCACAGGCAATAGGAACAGGAAATAACCCAAAAATCTTTAATTACAACCTAAAAAATTCGAATGCTATGATTGGTTGGCGACAGGCAATAGGCACAGAATTCCCAACGTGACGGAAACTCTGTGTCTATTGCCTGTATCACTGTTTATTCTGCATTTATACATGATTTCTGATTTCTATTCCCTGTTCCTATTGCTGTATGCAGACACCATAGCGCATGCGCATATGGCGCCTGCATTCGTGCTCATGGCTCCTGCAATTTTATGTGCTTCCACCTTAAGGTCAATCCAGACAAACTTGCATAGGTGCATAAGCATATATGCATAAGTCCCAGTCTACAATAGGTGTTTTAAGCCCTAAGCCTTAAGAAATTGTTCAATTACAGTTGAATTTGAGGAGAATAATTGACTGTGATTGGACAATTTCTTAAAGGTCTATTCAGACAAACTTGCATATTAGGTGCATAACCATATGCATAAAGAAACGGATTGGTCTATTTCCTTATGCACATGCATATGGACTAATCAATTCTTTTATGCTTATGTTTATGGGCTTATGTAAGTTTGTGTGGATATAGCTTAAGGCTTAGGGCTTAAAACACCTATTGTAGACGGGCACTAATGCTAGGTCTACAATGCGAGTCGTAAAGTCGTGAGTCGTAAAAACTGACCAATCACAATCGAATTTGAGGAGAATAATCGACTGTGATTGGTCAATTCTTACGACTCACGACTTTACGACTCGCATTGTAGATCTAGCATAAAGCGGGGAGCACACACTTCTGCATAACGCATAATACGTAAGCATAAGAAAACTGATTGGTCTATTTCCTTATGCACATGTGTATGGACCAATCAATTTTCTTATGCTTACGCATAATGCGTTGTGCAGAAGTGTGTGCTCACCGCTTAATGCTAGGTCTACAATAGGTGTTTTAAGCCCTAAACCCTAAGAAATTGACCAATCACAATGGAATTTGAGGAGAATATTCGACTGTGATTGGTCAATTTCTTACGGCTTAGAGCTTAAATACCCTTAGCAAGGTTGTAGACCAGCACTTATGGCCATCATAAATCAGCCTTCAAGTTAATCGGAGTTTGGTCGAAGTGGCCCTTAAGTTTTAATTGCACGATATTGTTCTTACACGTTTTCCCTACAGCGCCTATATCCAATTTTTAAAATCAATTATAGCGCTCTACATTTTTGTGCGTACTTTAATTCTGTAAGTCTTGTGTACACGATACTAGAAATCGGTCCGAGTTTCGGTTTAAGCCAATGAAACTGCTGCTTTTCTGTAAGAGCTGAAAGTTGATTGGCTTAAACCGAAACTCGGACCGATTTTTAGTATCGTGTACACAAGGCTTAAAAGAGTTCGCAATTCCGTAAAGCTAATTAAAAGTTGTATGTATTTAATTAAATGTCGGTAACGACTACCACTATAGAATCCCCTTAATACTTTATGTCAAATAAAATTTTAACAGTTCTTATTTCTATAATTATATAATATTATACCTATTATATAATATTGGGTTTGTTTCTTTTAGCTGCACTAGCTGAACTAGGTCACACTGATGCAGTAAATTAGAGTGAAACAGAATATACTTGTCTCACTCTAACTCATTGCACCAATTCAGTCTAGTTCAGCCAGTGCAGCTGGAAAAGAAACAGACAAATTATGTAACATTTGATTAAAGTATTAAACTATAAGTATACCTAGGCTGCATTCCGATATTCACCGTCAGCAACTTTCAGTACTGAAAATCTATAGTATACGTGACATAAAATATAGATTTGCAGTGCTGACGTGAATATCGGAATACAGCCCTAGTAAAGATATATAACAAATTTTTTAGATAAAAATTATTTTATTTTGTAAGATTTTTACAATGATTTACACACGTGTAGATTTCAAATCATTTGTTTTCTAAAGATATTTCAAAATTAGTAGTTTCTTAAATAAAATATTTATTTTTTTATTTTTTATTATAGAGCATTGTTATGACAGATTAATAATATATTTGAAGCAGAAAGGTCTCATTCTAATTATTTGTTCATGATATTTCATTATTTATTTTTCTACTTATTATATAAACTATGCACATACAAACTATGTATTTATTTTAATCCAGATATATTATTCTGTTTGAAATATCATAGTTGAAAAATGACTTTAAAGAATGATTGTATATATTTTAGAAATTGCAACATAGATACTCCATAAAGCAACTTTTGTGCAAAGGACTTCTTCAAACTCTACTAATTAAAAAAATATTTACATGTTAACACTTATACCAAACATATTGTAACTTTCTTTCTGTAAAATATTAAAATATTAGAATAGCTATAATCTGCCCTTACCTGCCCTATCTTTTGTATATAATGCCTTTATTTTCAATTTTATATCTAAGTGGCTCCCTTTAAATATTTTTATCTAATTTATATTCTTCTTTGGATATTAAAATTGAGTCATTTATGTTACATATTTATAGATAACTTTGTTAATGTCTCTATCAATAATATATTTATCACAGTAGTATGTTATTACAAACTTTTTATCTGAAAGAATTTTTGTGTATAAGTATTTTTGTTAATATAAAAAATAAATACAGTAAAGATGAAATATAACAGACTTAATAAGCATATGATTAAAATACATAATATAAATTGATTAACTAACCTGATTTAATCATCCCATTCATCATCGTCAGTAGTATCACTAGTGGATTCTTCGCTTTCACTATGAATTGCACGAGATCGTTCAGCCAGAGCTCTAGATAATGCGTCGGCCAAACCACCACGAAGTGCAGGTACTGTATTAGATTTTGCTTCATTTCGAACAGGTTTCAGTTCAATGCCTTCACGTATCTGTCGTAGCAAGTCTCCCCTTGAATCCTCAACTAATGCTGGTTTGATCTCTGTCTTATCAACTTTCTATAAAGTAAAATATCTATCAAATCATGTTTCTGATATAGTTAAGACTAAGATTGAGATTGTTTCATTTCTTTTTTTTTCAATTAATTAGCTGGAAAGATTTGTATATTTGTTCAGATAAAAATAATTAGATTTTTCCTCATTATTTTTTCCTTTTCTTTCTTCTCCTTTTTTCACCGTTTATTTTTCTACCTTATTTTTCCATTTTCTATATTATTTAAACATATTTACTAAACTAAATACTAAAAACATTAAAGAACAGAAAGTTAATGCTTTCTTTTTTCATTTTTATATACAATAGAGTCCGAGAACAGCATAATTTTTTATATTATTCTATTCTCATTTAACATATAATATTTCAGAATTAATATAGTATTCCACTAAGTAAGTTATTATATAATTTTAATATTTGTTTAAAATGTATTTTTTTTCTTTAATCTTTAGGAAGCAAAAATTTATAAAAGATTAAAAGTATAGAAATAGAATTCTAATCTTATCTCTCGTTATCACAACAGAAATCAATCTTTTTGAGTATTTTATGATGTCAGAAATTTCTTATCAAGAATTAAAATATGACATTATTCATATAATCTACACACTTACATTTGTAGATTATTAGTGTTTTGATAGTCCAATGATAAAACAAAATGATATTGTACATTTGATTGAAGTATAAATATAAAACAAATTAATTAAAATTAAAAAACGTTACAATATATAATTAGAGATTATAATTATCTTAGAAAACATGAAAAACAAAACTCCATATAGAAGTGGAAGAATTTTAATTCCACAATCCTAATTTTACAGTAACATGGAATTAAAAATAAAATAACTATTTATTGCTATATACTTGGTTTCTGGTAAAGTAGATACTCTTATACATACTACACAATGCATAGACAAGATGCATACAGCATCACATATTACATCCATGGACAACGATTTGTCCATACTAGACTTGTAAAGTAAGTCTGAAAGATATCCATCCTGTCCTATCTAGTAGATTTATATACAGGGTTTATCAAAAGTATGAAAATCCCTTAATTTTACGAAAACCATACATTTTACAAAAAAAGTTTTAGACAAAACTTATAGGGTTTAAAAAGATCTATTTACTAATCTTACCAGTTTGACCTTACATGGCGTCGTTAAGGTCAAGTCAGGGTCATATACAAAATTTGAATTTTTTAAATTTGACCTATTTTTTATTGCATATTCTTGTACCCTTTGTCAATATATTTTCGGCTCTCAGTGTACACATACATACATATACACGCACATACGTACATACGCATACACGCACATATGCGAGCGCGCACATACATACATACATACACATATACACACACATATACATATACATACACATATACACTTACTCACTCACTCACTCACTCATTTACTCATACATACACACACACATACACACACATACAAACCCACACATGTATATAAAATATACACATATACATGAATCTACTAAATGGAACGGGATAGGTATTTTTCGAACTTGCTTCACTAGTTTGACATAGGATGAATCATTGTCTACAGATGTACAGATGGACTATGGATGTATCACATATTACATATACATCAATTCTATAATAAAGATTAAAATACAAAGATCTAAAAAAAATTAGAAAAATAGTATTTTTATACATATAATTACGTTTATGTAATTTTAGTATAAAAGAGAAAATGCAAAAGAAAAAAAATTGATGAATTTTTGTAAAACAAATTGATTCTTAGTAAAAAATATCATAGATCACTCATGTTTGTACATACCCTTAAAATTGTGCCGCTTCTAATAGATTCCATGAGCATTGGTCTAAGATCTGTGATTGAGTCTTCATTATTGTTATTAGTAACATTTGTGCTGTTAGGGCTACTCAAGTCTGATAAAGGTGGCAGAGGTGGTGGTGCAGGAATGTTTGTACTGATTTTCGAAGGAGCTCTAACTGGAGCTGAAGCTAGAGCTGGAGCTGGAGCTGGACCTGGAGCTGGAGCTGGAGCTGGAGGTGGAGCTAGAGCTTGAGGTGGAGGTGGAGGTGGAGGTGGCGGAAGAGCCGGTGCCGAAGTTATAGTTGGTGGAGGTGGTCTTGATGGTAAGATTCTGTGTACTGGTGGAATATTGGACGAAACAATTAAAGGTACACTCGGAGGTAGGCTAGATGGCACACTTGGTAATGCAGAAGATGTGCTAAAACGATTTGGAGGTAAAGGCGGAGCAATACGTGTTTGATGCTGAAACACAAAAAATATAGCGTTTTTATTGTTATATATACAATTATATATTATTTTAATATTATATTTTAATGCTATATATAATATTAGTATTTTAAATTTGTTAATGTAATATATATGAAACTATGTAAAAAGCTATATATCATAAAAAATAAGATTATATATGTTAGGCTCAAAAACAGAAAATACTCACTGAGCAAAAAACCGACTACGTGTTCTGGCATATTCAAAAAGGCCACAATGCAAAATTTGTATCGTGGAACTTTCAAAAACGCTTACAACGCGTTTGTAAATGAAAATGTAAAAATGCCATAACGTGTTGTGCATGTTTATTGATACAGCCATGACGCAATGTAGATGTTTTTGATAGAAATAAAGTTATAAAGATAATTAGCAGTTAGCCTTATGTAGACTAACTGTTAACTTTCTTTACAATTTAGTTTCTTTATAATTTTATTTTTATCACATCGTGTCATGGCTGATCAATAAGCGTCCACAATGCATTGTGGCATTTTCACACTGCTAGAACGCGTTGTGAGCATTTTTGACACAAATTTCGTATTGTGGCCTTTTTGGATATGCCAGAACGCGTTGTAATCGGTTTTTTCGCTCAGTGAACGTTTTTGGTCTTTGTCCTTGACATATATACATACATATATATATATACATACATATATATACATATATATATATATATATATATATATATATATATATATATATATATATGTATGTGTGTATGTATATATTTATAGGACTATTTTAATTAATCCACGTGATTATCCCAAATTATTTGTTATTCGGAAAAATGTTTCAAATAGAACTAACTCTATTTTGAGGAGGTCATCTTATGATGAACACAAATCTTGCCTAGTGGAGGTGTATGAGATTTCAAGGTAACCTTTGTTTTTTAAAATGAAACTCTTTATTTTTTATTTTATCACCTTTTTCTATTAATCAATTTAAATAACTTTCGTTTGAAACATTTTTTTATTTGCTTAATATATTTTTAGACATTCTAGGAAAATTTGGTAAATTTTTCAATATTTAACTTATGATATCTTAATAATTGTTTATTGGAGGGAAAAATAATACAGAACTTTTTGACTTAATTTGGTTTCAACAATATGCTACTGCAATAGTGCCCCTACTTTTATAAACACTTATATATGTTATAACGTAATTTATACAATATTCTATTTTTAGACACTATTGCAACAGCATATTCTTAAGACCAAATCAAGTCAAAAAGTCCTGTACCACTTTTTACTCCAACAAACAATTACAAGATATCGTAAGCTAAATATTGAAAAATTTACTGAATTTTTCTTGAATATCTAAAAAAAATATTAGACAAATAAAAAAGTGTTTCAGACAAAGGTTGTTCAAAAATTGATTAATAGAAAAAGTGATAAAATAAAATAAAGGGTTCTTGAAAAAGAGTCATTAAAAAAATAAAAGTTACCTTTAAATCTCAGAAGCATCTCCACTAGACAAGATTTGTGACCATCAAAAGATAACCCCCTCGAAATAAAGTAAGTTCTATTCTAAATATTTTTTTCGAATAACGAATAGTTTAGGAGATAATCGCGAGATTAATTAAAATGGCCTACCTTGTATAAAAGTATAAATTAAGTTTATGATTTAAAGATTAAAGATATTAATCTAGTATAATATACTAAAAATTTTTATTTTATGTAATAAAATTATGTAATAAAATTTTCAATATAAGATATTAAGGTGGTTCGATGGCTACAACAAAATGCAGAGAATTTCATGAAATTTTAATATGTTGTTCTGCAATGCAAAATAGAATTATGTGAATTTTTTGGGAATTTTTCACCGTCCCGTTTTAAAAAAATTCTATTCCAAAAACCTAAAAAGTACAATTTTAGGAGTAGATTTATTTCAAAACGGGACGGTGAAAAATTCCCAAAAAATTCACATAATTCTATTTTGCATTCCAGAACAACATATTAAAATTGCATGAAACTGGCTGCATTTTTAACATAGGTTCTTATGGTTTTTATGGGAAATGACATATTGCATATACCTTCAGAATGAAATAAGTGCAAGAAAAAATGCAAATGATAAAGAAAAAGAAATTTGCACATGTAACTTAATAATTTACAAATAAATGAGCGAAAGAAAGGGGAAGGTTACCGCACATTTCGTAGAAAAATTAATTATTAAAGCATAAATTGCTTGATTTTTTGTCTGCATAGACTGTCATGGTCGTGAACGACGTGAACAGCAGCACGCATTATACACGCGGCGACCAATCAGAGCAATCCCCTTCATTCCCACTACTTCAAACGCTAGTGCGCTGTTTCCAGAACCCCCGCGTCCCACTACTCCCTCCGATGAAGCCATCGAACCTCCTTAATATTTATAATCTTTATAATATATGTATTAACCCTAGTTTGCCATATTCGATCCAGTGGACCGCTGAATGTTTTTCAGTTTTCTAGTTTTCACATAATAACATAATTTTATAGTTTCCTTATAATAAGTTCAGTTTAAACTTTAAACTAAAATCATTTTCTTAACTTGATATTATCATAAATCTTATTTAGACTATGTATTTCCAATTCCTATATCACAAGCTCAAAAATATTAATTAGATTGAAAATAACAATACAACAAAGTTGAGCGGTCTCACGGACTAGTTTGTGATAAATTAAGGACTCGAAAATAAGTGTAACTCTAGCCAGAGTATTCTAAAAATATTATTTGAAAAGTTTTTATAAAAGAAATACAATTATATATATATATATAATTTTTGCGATCAATAACATTTATTTTAATAATATAATAATAAATTCTTTTATTATTCCAATATTTTTATTTTATTATAAATTTTATAGAAAATTATAATTTGTTTAATAAAATTTATACTTATTGTTTATATAGTAAAAAACAAAAATGTTAGTTAATAAATCAGTCAAAGAGAAAAGAGCGACGAGCCATAACAAGATAACAGTGTTATAAAATTCTGTTTTATAACAGTTATCCTGTTACGGCTCGTCGCTCCTTTCCCTTTGACTGATTTATTTTTAATCTTTTGAGCCTTTTGATTTATATTACTTAATAAAGCTATTAATTAACATTAATATTACCAATATCAGAATAAAACTCACAGGTATTGTTCGTGCTGGAACAGGTGGAGGATATTCCTGCCTCTGTGGCAGTGCAGGAGGCTCATTACTATTTTTTGCATTAACCAATGGCCGAATATCTTCTTGCACTGCACTCATACCTCCGTTCCTTTCAATGAAATCATAAATAAACTTCCGAGTACCTTTATCTTGGAGTTCATATTCCGAAACACCAGCATTATTAAAAAATTGTTGTAATTGTGAATCTACAGAATCTAATTCTAAACCTTTGTTATTAACATCCCATCCTAAGTGTGCCACATGTCTGTAAAGAGATAAAAGTAATATTCATGTACGGTTTAAATAACTAATAAACATATAATGCAAAATAAAATTTGAATCTATACCTGAAATTAGAAGGGAGACTGATATCATCCTTAGTCAACTTGCGCTTAAGATCTTGTTCACTTTTTTTCTTTTTAGTTTTATACATTGAACTACTAGAAGCACTTCTATTAACACCAACTGTAGCAGGCGCACCATTTGACAAATTACCTGATGGACCTGATGTGACACTAAAGGATGATATTTTACTTTGATTCTTCCAAGGCAAAGTACTACTAGCTTGCATTTCTTTTGCTTTCCTTTCTTGCCTTCTTTGACGTTTAGCATTTAATTTTCCAAGAAGTATATTTCTATTAAAAAAATATAAATATAAGAAAGTAATTATTTCTATAAATCATTCCTTATATATTTTTATAATTAACCTGACGTACTTGTAATAAAACTTTTGTTCCCTTTTATTCATATTAAATTCATGTAAAGCCTAGTCATGCAGTTGTGTATAAGCCTACATGACTAGGCTTCATATCACATTCATTTTACGGCTGTTTATTAACTGTCAAGAGAAAAGGATAGTTTTTGGAACATATTATAAGTGTGTTAAAGCGCTAAAGTGTTTTTTCATCCAAATATCTTATTATTTGACACGCAAGAATTCTCAGTGTGCCATTTCTCGCCTCTAACGTCATGACCTCACATGACGACAGAAAATATCCAGAAGCCTTAACATACCTTAATGTAATAGCTTCAGTTTCGCTTGCAAAATTAAATCCAGCCATACAATCTTCTGCCTCAAATGTATGAAAATATGACATTGGCGCTTTATAATCCATTGAATTATAGATTTCATGTTCCCATAACATTATCTTCCTTTGCAAACAAAATAATCGCAAAAAGAAACTGCGTCTTGGATTATCTCTTATCAAGGTAATAATACCTGTATTCTTTTTAATCCAATCTTTATGTAAGGGAGCTTCAGTCAAATATAATTGTATAACACCAGCTGCTAAACACTAAAACAGCAATACAAACAAGCAATATAAAAAATATGTGTGAGGTATGGACAAAAAGTTCATGAACTTTGTAAAATCTGATATGACAACAGTGGTTAAACGTCAATATTGCAGGTATGCAGCAGCATGTTTATACTATGTTCAGTAACAATTGTGTCTTATTTGAATACGTATGTTGTTGTCAGCAGCTCTTTGTGTAGTAGTGTGCTAGGACACGCGGTCGATTTTTAAATTATCATGGAGAACAAATAACGAATAAACATTAAGTTTCTCCTGAAGTTTCTCCTTGGCTGCGTTCGGAAACGTCACCCGAGTGCACACAAGTATACTCCCTTCTCTTTCTATCTCAGCGAGTTAGAAGAAGAAGAGAGTATACTTGTGTATACCCAGGTGACGTTTTCGAGGTGTTTGAACAAGTTCGATCACGCTCATAACATTTTTGTCAATACATAAAGCCGAAGGATGGCACTGTGTCTCTCAACCACTTAACCCACTTAAAAACAGTAGAACATAAAGTAGACTCACAGTACATCATCTTTAACATTTCATGAATTTTGGTACTATTTTTACCAAGTTTCACGAGATTTTACGTTTATTATGTTTTTTTATTTCTCTATTAATTTTAATCTCGGTTTAACTTACTTTTTATCTTCTTCTAATTTTCAGAACTAAGAAAAGATAAAAAGTAAGTTAAACCGAGATTAAAGTTAATCTACGTTGGTAGAAATAAACATTAGTTGCTCTTCATAATTTAAAAATCGACTACGTGTCTAATACACTATTATACAAAGAGCTACTGACAGATATACATTCAAAGAAGACACAATTGTAACTGAACATGGTATAAACGTGCTGCTACATACCTGCAATATTAAAGTTTGACCACTATTGTCACATCGGATTTTATGTCAGAGTTCACTAACTTTTTGTCCATACCTCATGTACATAATAGTTTAAATTATAAAAACAATATAAAAAATAAATCTCTAATTAATTAAAATTATCTTATAATTATATAAACAATTGTCTTGATAAAAAATGTTAAATGTCCTTTAATGTCCTTTACTTAAGTAAGTAAAATTATATACAAGTTATAATTACTTCTTTAATATATTATAACATCATTCCATTATAATATTTCAATATAAAATATTTTTTAATATTGATATGCATTTACTGCTTAGTGCTTATACAAATTTATATAATATACAAAGTTTGAGTATTCATAAGTAATGTATTATTGTACATATATGTAAATAAAAAAATAAATTATGTTTTTGGATTTATATAAACAATAAAATAAAATAATAGAATTTTGTTATATTATTATTAATCGTAATTAAAAAAAAACTAAATTTTTTTCAATGTATGCTATGATTTCTCTCATTTCCTTAGTACACTAAATTATTTAAAACTACATTTTTACTACAAATTAACTATATATATGCATTTTTATAAATATATGGCTATGTATCTCTTCAGTTTTTTTATATTGTTATTCTAACTATTAATGTTATTATACTAATTATTAAAACTATTCATCAATTGAACCATGTTGAATCGATAGATCAATATCAAGATATTCGTAACGACACTGATAATTACGCGAAAAATTTTCCTAAAAAGTATTACCTGGCATCGATTCCCTATCAGCTGAAAGACTTGTTCATTTTCCTCCGGTTTTAGGAGTATTGTGCCCCTATGCTTGTCCGTGTTGCCTGACTTCATTTTATCGTGAAACTAGGTTAGGATCGTCACGCAGGTATTACTCAATCTAAGGCCGCTCCTCTTTTCGCACCTAAAGCGTTTCTTTCATCTCATTACATCAACGTATGTTGATCTATCGCCCATTCGCATAATCGCACATTCAGCGACGATACAGCCTCGGCAGAGAAGACGGAAGACGAGAGATCCAAATATGCATATATTATTCACGTAAGTTTTGAATCAACTCAATCAACTAAACTTGACTCTAAATACTCTTCGATGACAAATACTCTCACGTCGATATATAAATCCGAGAGAAACTCTCGACTCCACTCGACTCAAGATAACGATGACATTTCTCATCTATCCGGTTCAACGTTCCGCATTTCTGCGTTTCTTCATGTGACGCATTCTCACCAACTCATGGCTTCAGGGAGTCGATTGTGTATCTTGAAACGAGGTGAAAATTATAAAAGTGAACAGATTTTACTAGATTTCCACAAATGAAATCGTAGATACGCTAGTGAATTTCCTCACTTTTGTAATTTTCACCTCATTTCAAGATGCACAATCGACTCCCTGCACACAGAACGCGGAAACGCTTGCCGCGCGGCAAGAAGCGACGCGGTAGCCAATCAACGTGTTGCTTTTCCGTAAGAACCAAAAGTTTATTGGCTACCGCGTTGCTTCTTGCCACACGGCAAGCGTTTCCGCGTCCTGTGTGCAGAAGCCATAAGGGCCAATTTCATTAACCACAGTAAGGGGATCCTGCAGTGACTGGCGAACTTCTTCGATGTCGATAATGTCAACCTTAATTTTGTTTTCCCTATATCTGTCTTTGTCTAACGAAATGACATCTGTCCTTTTTTCGATTGCTCGCCATCTCTCGCAAGATCCAACAACTACTGTTGCTGCTCTTCTTGTCATTCTGCATCCGTATTTGCATTACTAAAATAATTTTTCGATGGATCTTTTTATGTACGCATTGAATCTTACTTCTACTTGCATGATATTATTCCTACATGTTTTCCCAAGGGCAGATGATAAACATTATGTATGTATAAACTGCAGAATTTTTGTTTTAAGCAAATATTGTCGTCAGGTGACAGATGCGTATGTGCCCAAATAAGTAATATTTTTAATTTTTTGGTGTTTTTGATATAAAATCGCGTTTGTTACCCTAGATTTTTGTGCGTACTTTAATTCTGTAAAAGATTTTTGCAATTCTATAAAGCCAATTAAAAGATCCATCGAAAAACGATAATGTCGGTATATTATACGGCTGCAGGATCCCCTAAAGGTGGAAGCACATAAAATTGCAGGAGCCATGAGCACGAATGCAGAAGCCATATGCGCATGCGCTATGGTGTCTGCATACTGCCTATGGCTTCTGAATTTTCAATCTACATACACTATGCTT